CGCCGTCACCTCCGCCGCCCTCCGCCTCGCCCTCGCCGCCGCCTCCCTCCGCCTTGCCGTCGCCTCCGCCACCGTCCGTGCCGCCCTCGCCGCCGCCGCCCTCAGCGTCGCCCTCGCCGCCACCGCCGTCAACCTCGCCGTCGCCGCCGCCGCCGTCCGCCTCGCCGTCGCCGCCGCCGCCGTCGGCCTCGCCCTCGCCGCCGCCGCCGTCGGCCTCGCCCTCGCCGCCGCCGCCGTCGGCCTCGCCCTCGCCTCCGCCCCCCTCCGCCTCGCCGTCGCCGCCGCCCCCGTCCGTGCCGCCGTCACCACCGCCACCGTCGGCCTCGCCCTCACCGCCGCCGCCGTCCGTGTCGCCCTCGCCGCCGCCGCCCTCCGCCTCGCCGTCGCCGCCGCCGCCGTCCGCCTCGCCGTCGCCGCCGCCGCCGTCGGCCTCGCCCTCGCCGCCGCCGCCGTCCACCTCGCCCTCGCCGCCGCCGCCCTCAGCGTCGCCCCCGCCGCCACCGCCGTCAACCTCGCCGTCGCCGCCGCCCCCCTCCGCCTCGCCCTCGCCGCCGCCACCGTCGGCCTCGCCGTCGCCTCCGCCACCGTCGGCCTCGCCCTTTTCGCCGCCGCCGTCCGTGCCGCCGTCACCGCCGCCACCGCCCGTGCCGCCGTCACCGCCGCCGCCGTCCACTTCGCCCTCGCCGCCGCCGCCCTCCGCCTCGCCCTCGCCGCCGCCCCCGTCGGCCTCGCCTTCCCCGCCGCCGCATTCCGCGGCGCCCTCGTCTACCTCGCCCTCTCCTCCACCACCGGCCCCGCCACTGCCCTTGCCCTCGCCCTATCCGTCTTCGCCTCCCTCCAGCCCGCCACCACCATCTGCACCGCCGCCAAGCATGCCGCCGCCGCCACCGCCGCCGTCGCTCTCACCGCCATCTTCACCGAAGCCGCCCTCTGCACCCCTGCCCCCGACATCTACGAGTTATGCTCTAAGCACGATCCTCGCAGGGGCGGATGGACTCCTCGAGGCGAGCCCCCCCCCCCCCCCC